TGTTTGAGGGATTTAGAAAATGGGGGGGGAGTGTTGGTAGTGGGGGCCTGAGGAGGGAAAGGAGCCATACAAGCTGGGACTGGAAGTGAAGATCTTAGTTTAGACCTTTACCCGGTTTCTAAGCTGTTGGTTGACTGAACTAGGTGCTCCCAAACTCATCCCCACCCTAGACAGTATGGAAGTGAAGATCTTAGTTTAGACCTTTAGCCAGTTTCTAAGCTGTTGGTTGACTGAACTGGGTGCTCCCAAACTCAGCCCCACCCTAGACAGTAAGGAGGACCTGGATGATTCAGAATTTGTCCCCCCCCCCCCAGGTGTGTGGTTGATGTTTTCTGTCTATTTATGCCAAAGTTCCTGAGAGGCCAAACCGTGCGCTAGAGTTCCCTGCCTTGGTTTTCCCGTNTGCCAAAGTTCCTGAGAGGCCAAACCGTGTGCTAGAGTTCAGTGTCTCGGTTTTCCTGTCTGTAAAATTGGGATGATGGTGATCTAAAGGTTGGCTCGGGCGGGTTGTGGGAGCAATGGGATATAACATCTCAGAGCCATAAGATAGTTAATTGGAAAGGCAAACCAAAGGTCATCTAGCCCCAGCTAGATGCAGAGAATCCATGGCTTGAACCGCCCTGACAGACGGCCACCGCACCTTTGTTTAAAAACCTCCTACAAAAGAGAGTCCGTGCCTTCCAAGATCATCTCTTCCACTGCCAAGCAGCTTTTGCTGCCCCCTCTGTCTCTCGCTCATCTTGAAAACAGCATCCTTTAGATGGTTTCTGATCTCTTGCTTTAGCCCGGCGTATATATATATTTGTTTCTACTTTGTTTTCACATTCTCTCTGCCTTGCAGGTGCGTCGCAGGATCCGTGTCCTGGAATACCACACCTGGGTGACCTACTGAGCAGTCAAGAGATTGAGAGGCTTATGAGGAGGCCCTGGCAGACGAAACAGTGCCTAACAAAGACACCCAGGAGGAGGGAGAAGGAGAAAGAGGAAAGGCACCGGAGCTGAAACTCAGTGTAGCCAGCCATGGTAGGTCCCAGCCGCTAATCAGAGGAATGGAGGCGAACACAGGAAGCTTAGACTGAGTTGGCCCATCTAGACCAGCATTGCCAGCTCTGACCGGCAGCTGTGACTCTCTAGGGTTTAGGACGGGATTCTTTCTTACCTGGAGATCGATGATGTTCCCTGGGGGTCACCCATCCAAGATCTAACCAGCCCTGGCCCTGCTTAGCTTCCTAAACCTGATGAGGATGGTATGTGTGTGTGTTCAGGGTGATATTTTGTTATGGTGCCGTGAACCCACGGAAACAGGCTGTGTCTCTCTTCACTTCTTCCGGTCCTGATGCGAAACTTGCTAAAAGCAGCTAGTGTGGGAGGAGAGAAAGAGGCTGTGAAGATTAAAAGGACATCCTGACACCACTTTGAAGTGGAGCAAAAACTGGTTTTGATGGATCGTTGGGGCTTTGTGAAAGCCACCACATGAATTATTAAGTGCGGATGCAGGTGATGCTCATAGCTAACATTTTTCTACCAAAAGAGGCATTGGTGGGCTATTTGAAGTGACCTTGAACTTCGTTAGGTCAGGTATCCAAATACTGAATCCTCCTCTGCCAGGCCACCCCACTTCGCTGCCCTTTGGTGAGGTTATGTCACTGTGGCAGCTTGGGGCGCAGGTTCTTTCCTCTCTCTCTCCTGCCAGCTCGTAGAGAGGGTGTGTGTGTTTGCTTTTCCAGTGAGCCAATCCATGGGGGGCGGAAAGATGGCTTTGTCTTCTTGCACTTGAGAGCTTGCAACGCTTCACTTTTCCTGCAAAGTGTGTATATATATACGTATTTGGGCTGAAACAGCTGAAGCAATGCATGGTGGCGTGCACACGCTCACACCACAGTGTCATTAATTTCTGCCAACCAGCCAACAGGAGGGTTTAAGCTTCCCAAGCTTATTGATTTCCTTCGTCCTCTAAACGTTATTGCCAAAAGGCTGGCTGGTAGCGGGAAAGAAATGCGTGCCAGCTCTCAGACACAAGAGGAAATGCGTTGGCCTGGGGTTCCAATGGGATTTCATTCCAGACGGACCCTTAAGAAGTGAAGCGGGGGTTTGCATTGTGGGTGTAATGCTTGTCCATTTCCTCTTTGCTTGTTCCATGTTCTCCCTTGGTGGTTGGGAAAGAGACCCAGGAAGGCGGCGAGTTGAGTTCTGTTTCTGCCAAAGGCACCAACATAGCTTGGGAAATTTTAATTTTTCTGGTACAATAGCCTAGCATCCTCCATCAGTCATTCTGACTGGGGGATTGTATAAATTATAGTCCAAAGAAATATATTTTTTCCCAAGCACTGGGAATAACAAGGATAGCTCACTTTCTCTCTTACATTTTTCGGGAAGGTAATATAAACTGAACCATTTTACACTCCCATCACCCCAAAGGGATGCTCTTTGCATGTGTGGGATTGCAACTCCATCATGTATTTTGAGAAACCTAACGTCTTAAAGCATTCTTCATGATTGGGAGCAATTTGGTTTGTTTATATTCGTTAACGGCCTCTTAAAGGAGCATCCTGTACCTATTGTACAATTCAGTTTATATATATATACAGTGGTGCCCCGCATAGCGAGGTTAATCCGTTCCGGATTAACCTTCGCTATGACGAAACATCGCTAAACGGGACAGAAAAGGCCATTGGAACGCATTAAAGTTAGCTTAATGCGTTCCAATGGCTTCTTTACTCACCGTTATGCGATGTTTCCTCATTGTGATGCCATTTTGGCGCCCTCGGTAAGCGAGGGCAGGGCGCGAAAATGGTTGTGGTGGCCATTTTGGGTCACGCAGCAGCCATTTTGGAGCCACTGAACACCTGATTATCGGGCGTCGCAATGCGAAGATCGGTAGGGAAAAAAACTAACCCAACCAGCAAGGATGAACATGCAAGGAGTTAAATAAATCTCAAATTCTGTAAAACACTGAACCCTAAGTTCATCTCCTTGTCCTAACTCAAGGAAATCCATTGGCTCAAACTTTGTTTAAACAGCACAGATTCTGTGACTTCACTCTTTGGACCATCAATCGGGTTCAGATCAAAAACACCTGAAAGAACAAAAAGATCTTATCCTGACACCAGAAAGACAGACATTTGGGCACCAGGCAGGTTTTCTGAGGGAGTTTTCCAGAGCCAGGGGCCAGCACTAAAAAGGCCCTTTCTCTTGTTGCAGCCCTCGGAGCCTCAGAATAAGGCAATGCTTTGAAGAAGGACTTCTGGAATGACTTTATGCTTGGGCAGGGTCAATAAAACCCTTCCATGCTGCTCTTTCCTAAATGAACACAAAAATTTTTTTTCTTCCCTTCGCTCCACTACCTTTTTCACCCTCCTCTTTCTCTCCTCTGCTGACAGAGGTCGATCCGATCATTCGCCAACGATGACCGGCACGTAATGATGAAACACTCAACCATATATCCGTCTCCGGAGGAACTTGAAGCCGTCCAGAACATGGTCTCCACCGTGGAGTGTGCCCTTAAGCAGGTCTCGGACTGGATGGATGAAACGAGCAGGTCAGCCAGGACAGAGAGCAGCACCGACGGCAAAGATGAACCCACAGACAGCGCTGGTAGCAAGTGAGTGGATTCAGCTTGGTCATGTAGAGCAGTGGTCCCCAATCTTGGGCCTCCAGATGTTCTTGGACTGCAACTCCCAGAAGCCTTCACCACCACCTCTGCTGGCCAGGATTTATGGGAGTAGAGGTCCAAGAACATCTGGAGGCCCAAGGTTGAGGACCACTGCTGTAGAGGATCCAAGGAGGAGCCTGTTCTCTCTGTCCTGATAAGAGCTTGGAAAATTTATGGTTTGGGGTTAAAATTCCCCCAAATTTGCAGCCAGCATGTCCATTACCCGCATTAGGTGGGGGATTTCGGGTGTCATTGTTGAAAATATGTTGTTGTTTTTTAAAAAAAGGAATCTAGGCTGTGGTCCCGTCACCACGCACTGTTTTAGGATGCTCTGTATTTGCAGCCTTAACGTCCGGGATGAGAGGTTGACTCTTAACAGTCCTTTTACACCATAGCAGGTTTAAGGCTTGTGGGGTTTGCTTCTTGTTTTTAAACAAGAACCTTGAAATCCATCAACAGGAGCCTGACGCAAATGACATGCATTTAGAATTAAAAGAATCCTGTACCAAGGAATATGTTTCAGGTCTCAGTGGTGAATGAACGAATCCACGGTCTTTATTCAATAGCAACGTGATCTCGGTTACCCCAAGGTTCCTTTGTTTCACCTGTAAAATTTAGAGGGAAGGATTTCTTTTCTTGATGCTACGGAAGTCAGAAATTCTTGACAAGATGATGCCAGTTCGCTTAAGAGACTCATTGGTAGAGTCAGATTTTTCCTCTGCCCATCCTTGCTTCGTGATCTTTCCTAGGTTGCCCGAAGCTGAAGGGCTATGGGTGGGAAGATTCAAATTGGGTTCTCAAAGTTATTGGAGTCCCAAGGAAGAGAGAGACAGAGAGAGAGCAACGGCCAGGGATATCCCGCTCCTTTTTTCTGATGGAATGGACAATCCAACAATCTCTCGCCTCTTGCAGCAGGATTTCTCACAGCTGCCAAATGGGGAGTGCGCCGGGGTTAAATAAGGCGAGGCGCACATGCCGCCAGGGCGCTGGGTTAGCAGGGGTCACCCTGTGGCATTTGGAAACTCAGCTGCTGGAGCTCTCCCTACCAGCAGGAGAATGGAACAAACCCAATTAAGCACTCTTAATGGGATGGAAGGGGTGGGGAGTCCGTAGCTTTCCACCGGAGCCACGTGAATGGCTCTGTCTGTGTTTAAAGTCCACAGCTTGCTTCGCGAAGAGGGATGGCTGCTCCAAGAGAGGAAGCTGGCCATGAATCTGGTGTAACGGCCAATTGAGCGAAACATCAGTTGCAGTGCGCCTGCATTTGTTCCCTGTGTCTCGTACCCATTTTGAATCCTTCGGGCTCTCCCTGGTGGTTTAGAAAACAGCTGGAACAGCTGTCTTTAAAAAAATTATATATATTTTTGCTTCTTTCCTGTCTGTCTCTGGTCCTTAACACACCGGGCAAACTTGGACTGAGTTTGCATACATGCTTGCAGAAAATATAAATGTGTTAAATCCTCGGTGTGTAACGTAAGATGGATTGTGTAAGCGGCCTCAAAGCACCGTCCCTCCACCTTCTCTCTTTATCCTCTTCTTTCCTTTCTTCCCTCCAGCCAGCCGAGCTGATAATTAATGACACTTTTGTTAAACTGTCCAAAGCAGCGTGCTCAGATATTAATATTTTAGAATGCATTTCCTCCTTGCCAGCCCAAAAAGAGTTTGCCATTTGATTAGTGTAAGTGCGCGCCCTGCAGTGTTTGCAGTCAACCTGATACCTCGCGGGGTGCCGGCAGCGTGGCAGCGCTCTAGCACTCAACTGCAGCCCTTCCTCAGCTGTTAGGAAAATCCAGAATTATCTTTTCATTGAATCAGTGCAAAGGTCCACAATGCTCAGTATTGTCCACGGCAAAGGTGAGGAACATCCGAGCCCTCTAGATGTTTCAGAGTAATGATCCGCCAGCCCCTTACCAGTATCCCTGCCAGCTGGGGACGATGGAGATTACAGCCACCAGGATCCCCCTGCTGCTTGTCTGTTACTAGAGGGGCGTTTGCTGCAGCTTCTCTAATAGCAGCTCATGCAGTCCAGGAGTTTACATCAGATGCACATGTAGGCAGTAAACCCGGAAGCTTATACCAAATAAAACCTGTTCACCTTCAAGAGGTTGCCTGGCTCTTGGTGGGTTTGCCGGAACATTGAATAACGCGTTTCCCTCCGGTTCCTGCAGGCTACAGGCTCTTTAATAAGCAGGAACTTTGCCCCTCCTAAGAGGCGTGTTTTATGGTTTCCCACGTAGGCGCCTAGTCCTCCTCTTTTCCTCGGAGTCCGCATCTTGTGCAGAGATTGCTGAGCAGAATAAACACCTCATGTTAATTGAACGTTGCCTTTAATAAAGTCCTGTATTCATCCCACATGGTCCTCCCTGTTCTTCTCCCTTTCCTCCTCCCTTGCACGCTGCCAGATGGATTCTCTCTTGTCAAATCAAAGCAGCCAGGAGAGTGGAAAGCAAGACACTGCTAATGTAAATCCATGCATACTTTAGCATGAAATTAAGCAGCAAATTGCTTTGATGGGGCATAGCTGCTGGTTAAAAAAAACCAAGAGCTACATGTGATGAAAGCCACATCCTTGTTGTGCTGGGTGTGTGATGGTCAAGGTGCCCTCTGCGGCTGATCCGGCTCGCCTCCCCAGGTTGCATCAGCATCTCTCGTGACTTCCGTTTGCAGGATGAGGAGCAGGGTGGCTCCCTGCACACGTCTCTTGTTCCCTGTTGGACAGGGAATAAATGAGGCCCTGATTGCCTTTTTTTAACAAGCGCTTCTGGTGCAAACTCTTGGCTCTTATAAAGTGCTACTCGAAATGCTTTGGCAGCTTGCTGTCTTTTCCTTTCTTTCTGGTTTTCTGCACCAGGTTTTTCATGAGCTCATTCTAAATTTAGGACACTTCCGTGTGTGTGTGTGTGTGAGAGAGAGAGAGAATGTGTGTTTTGCATGTCTGCTGTCCAGATGTTCCAGCAAAGAGCTCATCCGATGCAGAATAGTTTGTATGGAGGCCAGGCAGGGCGTTTGGGGAGGCGTTGTTTGACGGGCCTTTGCCACTCTGTGCCTTTTTCTCCTTCTCTTTCCACACCTCCCACCTGCCGTGTTTCGGCTCCATCCCACTCGTTGCTCTCACAAACAGAAAAAGCTCACCCTTTTTCAGCAGAGCATTTTACGAAAAAGCTTGCCAGGGTTTCTCCGCCCTTCCCTTTCCCACATCTTATTTTTGAGCATTGCCTTCGCCCCCCACCCCCCGAAAGGACCCGAACACTTTAATGTCCCATTGGCTGCAGAGAAGCAAATTGCCGCACAGAAGCCTCAAAGCCGGCCTCTCATCAGGTTATAGAGGACACCTCTTGCCTGCTAGATGCGTGGGTTTCTCTCTTGCTCTTCTCCTTTCTCCACTTGGCCTAAATTTCCAAAGATAAATTGGGAAGTTGCCCTATGTGGAGCTGCTCTTATAGCCACACGCCCTTCTCTCTCCGTCTTCATTGTTTTTCCAATTTTCAGAGTTGCCCAGGTCTGAAGGTGCTGGTTTGAAGTCTCAAGAGTCTGTCCCCAGGTCTCCACACGGAGACAGAAATGTCAGGCTGAGCAGCTGTGTGTGAAGAGCAAGTTTGAGTTTTGTGTGTCAGATGGCTTACTTCTTCCTGTGTTTACTAGGGAGGAAGCTGAAGTTCCTTTATTATGGTCCACAGATCCGATAGTTACTAGGGATGGAACACGTGGTCATTCAGAATAATCTATTTTAAGCAAAAATTTAATGGCCTAAATGTGTGACTTGTTGAATGGAGCAGCAAGAGTTGTTGCTTTAAAGTAGTACCGTGCTTATAAAAATTTCAGATGGTTAGGAGGAGGATCGTTAACAGCCTTAGGGCACATGATTTGCATGCAGATGGTCCCGGGTTCAGGTTTCTTACATCTCTAGAGTTGGCGGGATCAAATAACAGGCAAGGAGACACCTTGCTCTTCCTGGAATGCTACTGAAGGTTGGAGTACATAATTCTGAGCTGAATTGACAAATAATCTGACCCCAGGCATAAATTTGGAAAAATTTCTTTTCCGGATTCTAATTCCCAGAATCCTGCAACCAGCATTGCAAGATTAATAATCCCAAAAATATTGATGTTTCTAAGCTTCGGCTTCTTCCTATAGCATCATATTCCTTCTTTTCTCTTAACTGGAAAGGAGGTGTGTGTGTGTTTTTCTAACGCCACTACGGAGAGACAACGACTTCTTGTAAATCTAGGGAATATGTTTTTCACATGGTTCAGAACAGTTGCTTTTTCTTGTAGGCAAAGTCAATCAGCTAATCAATACAAGATTTCAATCAAGCAACAGCCTCGCTATTTATCAGCTGCTTATTTTGGACAGTGGTTTCTGATCATTTGTATGTTTTAATGGTTTTTTGTTTTGTTTTCCCAGTTTTAATGTGTTTGTTTAGCTTTGATTCCTCTCTTGTTGCAGAATTCTGCAATAAGGGAATTAAAAGGTTTGCCATGTTGCAAGAGCAAGAAGATACATGTCACGATTATTTCATTCATTGTTGTGTGTGTATGTTTTTTCAAAAATACAAATGGGCAAAATCCCAGCAGATGTGTTTCCCTAAAGAACAAATTTTGTCGCCTCTTTCTTTCTGCAGGGACCAAAGTGGACGGATCTTATGTGGCGTGATGAGGATTGGCTTGGTGGCCAAAGGCTTGCTGATAAAAGATGACATGGACTTGGAACTGGTCCTTATGTGCAAAGAGAAGCCCACAGAGACCTTATTATCACTCGTCAAAGACAATCTTCCCATCCAAATCCAGGTGAGCAAAAATCAGGACAGTTTGTACCTGTCATTAATGGCTTGGGCGCGGCAGCGCTGTTCCTTTTCCCCCTTTTTTGGTTTTTAATATTGTCGGGGGGCCAAGCTGGAAACCTCACCTAACCTTTCTTCTTCCCTGCCGAATAAAATTGAAATAGTGGAAATATTGCATCATTTTCTTTCATTTATGCCTTTGAAATGAAGTACAGTGGGGTCTCGACTTACGAACAGCTCGACATACGAACGTTTCGACTTACGAACCGCTCTCATAGGAATATATGGACTCGACTTACGAACTTAGATTCGAGTTATGAACTCCTTTTTTCCCTTTTTTTAAAGCTAAGTCATCTTAGGTTAAAAGGAAAAAAGAAAAAATATCCCCCTCTAGTGGCAGAAGGCGGAATAGTAGCTTCCCATTAGTTTCTATGGACGAAAAGAGCAGGTACGGATTAAATGGTTTTCAATGCATTCCTAGGAGAAATGCAGATTCGACTTAAGAACTTTTCGACCTGAGAACTGCCTTCCAATATGGCTTAAGTTCGTAAGTCGAGACCCCACTGTAGGTAGAATCTAAGCTACTCTCCAGAGTAGGTGAGCAGAAATGACACAGACCTCTTGCATTCCCCTTTCCTCAGTTTTGGGGCTTCCATGCATCACTTAGGGCACCAGGTTGAGAGCGCATCCTATTTTCTAAGAGAGTCGGATTTCTGTGGGTTCCCAGAAACCACGAACCAAAGAGGCTGTGATCCGTGTTTGTGGCTGAGTTGCAGTTATGGTTTGGGTTTCTTTTCCCCCAGACATACTGTCCTCCCCCCGAAGTTCAGAAAACATTCTTGCCCCAAAGGTGAGAATAGAAGTATAGAACAGCACTGTTGCATCAGATCAGAGATTACGCAGGCCTAATCTTTTGCTTCCAGTAGTGGACAGCTAGATCCCTCGGAGATACTTGTAACAGGAATTGAAGGGGAATTTATTGTTGTCTGCAATGTCTTCTCCTCCTGTGCCTCCAGTCGTAGATGATTTTGGAACCTAAGCCAGCCCTAGTTAGTAAATTTGGATGGCATTAGGGCTTATTTTCAGGGGATGTTTTATTTTTTTCATGTATAACCACCTACATTTGTTCAAATGCAGTCACATCATCTTCTGGGTGCTGCACAAGGGTGTCATTTGTTCAAATGCAGTCACATCATCTTTTGGGTGCTGCACAAGGGTGTAGGGCGGGGTTTCACTTAACTAGGGTTTATTTTTGGGGTAGGGTTTATATGACGGGCATCCTGAAAAATCCTACTAGGGCTTATTTTCAGGTTAGGTCTTATTTTGGGGGAAACGGGGTACTTGGAAGTAAGCAAAACAGAGAAAGTGCAGATTCTGCAGGAGGACCTTTGCTTTGTGGTATGCTGTGCTTTTGATCTACAATGATGGGCTGTTCTCTGCATGCAAAGACAGAACAGGAACCCGTAGCTGAAGTTACAGCTTTTTGGCTATAGAGACACAGCAGTGTATTCCAAACTGGCCCTAATAAAAGAGCTTCAGTTTCTGTCTCATCTTTCCACTTAATTTTTCCCCCCTTGAGTATTCTTTGCAGCTTCCTATTGGGTAGCTTCCATAGTGTTGAAATGTTAATTTTGTGGATGAAAGCTCCCAGAAATCTCCCAAGTGCCTGGGAATGATGGTGGGGGGTGGGGAAGGAGGGTAATATTTCCAAGTTTTGGGTAGGCTGCAGTATAGGAAAAGGTTATAATGGTCTAACCAGAAACCACTTCAGAGGATTATTTTTAAAAGAGGCATTGCGATACTCTTTCAAAGCAGAAATAGGTCAGTGTACGACCTATTACGTAGGGACTCTGACACCATTTTTCCTCTGCCAACAAGGGTAAAGATGTGTGTACTGTTGTGGTGAAGTGATATTTTTTTTTCAACGGAACGGTTCTGGAATGTTTCAGAAACTCACTGAAGAGAAATATCACGTCGAGCATCGCATCGATGAAGCAGCCATCGTTATCCGTAGCACAAACGAGCTTCCGCTTACGCTCAAGGTGACCCTAACCTCCCCTTTAATCCGGGACGAAGCCGAAAAGAAAGATGGAGGTACCGCCTGGAGTTACTCTTCTTCTGGTTCATTAATATTTTCCTCATTGAGCCACGCAGGCAAAACAGGTTATTTCTTTGTTGGGTTGTCAGTAAACTGCTGTTAGCTGGAGCTTTGAAAGGTTACCTTTTTCGTTTTTTTGGACTACATGTCCCATAATCTCTCAGCCAATATAACCACTTCTATCTCTGGAAGGCTAAACTAACATATGATGGTTTCTTCCCCACTAAAAGTGAGCTTTGTAGGAACAGAGCTTCTAACTTCTATCAGCTGCTGTCTTCATATCTCTCTCTCTCTCTCTCTCTCTGTTTCTTTCTTTTGTAAGTGCTGATCATCCTCTCTATCAAAGAGGGCATATCAATTCCCCCAAGAGTGTACGGTTCTAGAATGGTCTTCTTCGACCCAGTCAAAGTGGGAAGAGAAAGGTGTGCCTAGTAGAAACTTGAGTTACATTTGTTTGTAAGAAAAGTCATGTTGGATAGTTCAGATGCCATTGGAAGATTTTAAAAAACTGGCTAATCCTGTAAGGTTGGGAGCACTGTACGTGAAATCCTAAACCTTAATGCGTTGGGATTTTTGTTGCAATTGGACAGTTTTCAGTCAGTGGGATTGTGTGTTCCTTTTTGAAAACCCTGCTTGCACACAAGGATTAAGGTCGATTTTGGCTAAAGATCACATTTCTCTAAAATTTATTCAGCAGTGAAACAGGGTGTTGAAGGGGTTGATGAGCCCAACCAGAGACTGGGCGCCATCCCACGCCCATGGTGCTATGTGGCTGCTTTCTGCCTCACAGATCCTCCATCGGGCCACGATTCTGGGGAGAGGTGGGCGCTGGTGTTCCTTCCGTCTCCTTCCTCCTAAGGAAGGAGAAGCGTTTCAGCTACAGCCCCCGATTTTCTTATCAGCTGAAACGGGCACCCTTGGAATTGAGAGGGCAGGCCGCTCTTGTTCGTAGGCTGCGTATCAGCTTGAACTTTGGCATACCAAGGAACTTCGGCTTTGGCTTTCTTTCAGCTTTGCTATCCATTAATGAAGAAACACTAAGCCCATTTTGGTTTGGGATTAAAACCCGTCTTGAATGTCTCAACTGAGATTTTTCAGCAGGGGCCAGAGCAGGGCAGGGGGGAATGTGCTGAAAAACAAGACGTTCTTGCATGTGTACCCACCCACCCCCCAGTTGTCTCTCTGAACACCATGACAATTTTCCTTCCCCCTCTTAAGTTCACTCACCAATGTCGTAGTCTTGAAGCATAGAGTAGCCGGTAAACAGAACAGGGCTGAAGTTACAGCTCGCACGCACTTAAATCAGGGCCTGGGATATGCTCAGGGTATATTCTATCTCTCGAGAAACTCTACCTCTCTGTTTCCTCTTTGTGGCCCGTCTCTTCTCTCAGACTTCTGCTATTCACCTACAAGAGGAGGTATTGATGGAGAACGTTGAAGGGAAGCCGTCCGTGGCACAAAGCCCCCTTCTTCCCTCTCATTCCAATTATTGACTATTGTACTGAATTGAGTGCTCTTTGTGGAACTCAGTGGAACTTAACATTTGAGTGTACATACACTGCGGACGTCGACATTGATAATTTCTGCCTTTCTTCCCCTTCCACCCAATAGTAATTCTCCTCTTGTCTTGCCTTGCCCAGAGTCTAGCTATAAAACATTATCAGACTTTTGACCAACTGGCACTGCTCTGTCGTGACAGCCGAGGCAGCTGGAAGCACCCCCACCACCCCTTGGGGGTGAGGAACATCTACCCCACCCTTCCTGGTTGATCTCTCCCCTTTTCTGGATGGGTCACACCATTCCCTGCTCCCTCCATGTTTTCTTCACCTCCACCCCATACTCTACCACCATCACTGCAAGAATCCTTGATCAGAAGGGTTTTGGTTTTCTTTAGGAAGAACAATGGAGCAGAGAAATGACAAACAAGAAGGATTTTTTTCCAGTCATATTTGGAGGCATTGCACAAAAGAATAAGTGGGGTGGGTTGTTTGGTTGTCCAACTCCATGTAGAGAATTCTGGGATTTGTAGTTTGTTGAGCTGCTTAGAATCTTCCGCTAGAGTGAGCTAGTGCTGTAGTTGACGGGCGGAAGCACAAGAACTGTCTAACCAAAAATATATACAGTGGTGCCTCGCAAGGCGATTGCCTCGCGGGATGATTAATTCGCAAGACGATTGGTTTTTGTGATCGCTATGGCAGTTTGCAAGACAATGTTTTCTATGGACGATTTTCTCAGGACGACGATTTTTCCCCATTGGAATGCATGAATTAGATTTCAGTGCATTCCAATGGGGAACCGCGTTTCGCAAGACTATGTTTTCACAAGACAATGTTTTTCGCAGAATGAATTAACATCATCTTGCGAGGCACCACTGTATATATATCTAGCTCCCTTACCGAAACTACAAAACCCAAGACCCTGTGGGATGAAGACAAAGTGACACCAGGATGCTGTAACTGTGTAGTATAGACAGACTCAAAGATTATAACATCCACCAAGACAATCTGGTCAACACACTCAGAATGCAGGAAGTAAAGTTTTTTTTTAATCTGTTTTCCCCTTCTGTGCAGCTGTGGTCTTGTAGTTTTATCCTGTGAAGCAGAAGGAATTAAAAACCAGGCCTCCCTCCCCTATACACAAGACACATTCTTTTACAGCGAGGGAAAGAGTTTGAGAAGAGGAAAGAGAGGGACTTGGACATGGTGCTTGTGAAATCCAAAGACCATCAAGCTAAACTCTTGAAGGGTCTTGCTCACTCAGAGTGAAACCACTGAGGAAGAACATGTGGATGTGAGCAGTGGGATGTGTTCCTCCCCCCGCCCCAAATAGCATCAAAGCATGCTTGCAAGAGATCAGAGCTCCTCCGTTTTATGGCAGCTCCAGTCTTGGGAGTCTAGAAGCATACAAGCAGAACTGCCCGAGGCTTCTTGCAGTCCGATTTGGTTTGGTTCCTCAAACTAATCTGTCTTCTAACCCAGGAAGTCAAAGGGGGAGGATGAGACGCCTTGCGGCACATTGGAAATGGCCATATTTGCTATTTCATGCTCTGACTTGTCCATTTCTGGGGTTTCCTTTACCTTGATTCTTTTAAAATTTTAGTTTGTTGCTTAAATAGGATTTATAAGGCTCATGACTTTGAAAGGCAAAAAGCAAATTCAGTTTGGCCATTTACATGTTGGACTCTCGGCCCAAATTCTCTTTTCACAACTTTCAGCATGATTATATGTCCAGTAATTTAATTTTTATTTATTTATTTATTTATTTATTTATTTATTTATTTATTTATGCAGAAAATTCTTAATTCCTCCTTTTGTTATTATTGTTGTTCTTATTATTATTATTTGCTCTTTTGTCATTTACCCACCACTTCTTTTGAGCTGTAAAAGAATTGGGCTTTTTATTTGATTATTAAAAATCTGCCCTGTTTTTGGGAAAAAATATATAATCCCCACCTACTCCTTAAATATAGTGCATATGCATATTTCTTTCTTTTTACAGTTTTGCTGAAACAGTTATAAAATCCATAAAACCCAGAAATACTATTGCCATGATCTAATTACCAGAACTGGCCACTAGAGGGCGCCAGAGGCCATGCTATGTATAGGATTTGCAATTTTCCATGAGTTTTGGCATGGGGGGGGGCTTGGAACCAATCACTCCATACTCTATAGATAGGGGGGGGGAGTCCTACTCTATATTAAAAACAGCAAAAACCAAGAAACCTCCAGGCAGTAACTGTGGAAGCTGCTGCTGGAAAACTAACCAAGACCTAATTACCAGAACTGGCCACTAGAGGGCGGCAGAGGCCATGCTATGTATAGGGTTTGCAATTTTCCATGAGTTATGGGGGGGGTTGGCATGGGGGGGGGCTTGGAACCAATCACTCCATACTCTATAGATAGGGGGGGGGAGTCCTACTCTATATTAAAAACAGCAAAAACCAAGAAACCTCCAGGCAGTAACTGTGGAAGCTGCTGCTGGAAAACTAACCAAGACCTCTCGTGGTGGTTAAAAACATTTCGAAAGTTTATGCCAAATAGACACGTTATTCTTTCAGGCAACATGACACTCCACGTTGGTTGTACTGCAACCCAAGTGTAAATCAGTTTGAACGTATATTAGTAATTTTTTTTAACACCTCTTTTGCTTCCCTTGGCAGTCAGAGCATGAAATGACCGATCTGGTTTCGTGGCGATTGCCAGAATGGGTCCCAACACTGTAAGCTGTTTGCCCGCCGCTTCCACGCTGCCTCGTCTTTCCTCTCCATCTCTCTTTTTCTCTCTTCAGTACTTAATTATCACCCATTGACTGCCTGCAACGGCAAGGGACGCGGCCTTGCGGAAAACACAGGACCCCGGGGTGACCTGCTTTCCGAGGCCCTTCCAATGATTTTGGTGTGGCCCCTTCAATCAATAACGCAACAAGCAATATGCACACCTAGTTGAGGGGGGGAATTGTTGTTATCTTCTTCCAGTAAAACCCCTAAGGCAAAAGGTGGCCCATTTATATTTTTCAGCAAGCTTTGACAGTGTCCCAGTGACACAACCCCCTTGTGAGGCAGGCCATGGCCATTTCTGCATGGTTGGTGTAACGGCCTTGCAGCCAGTCAATCTGTAGTCGTCATTTCCCTCCCCCTAACTTTTCAGAAATGATTCTTGCTCCCTCCTTGACGGTTGCTGTATTGAATGACGCATGATCCCCAAGCCATGTTTCTATCGTCTCTCTCTCCCTCTGCTCCGCCCTGTATCCACGGATCAGACAGTTTTGTTGCACTCAAAAAAAAAAAAGGTGGTCATGGTTGATCCTGTGCTCGGCTCCTGCGAGGGTCCAGGAGGATGCTAACAAAAGTTGAAGGGGGGGGGAGAGAGAGAGAAAAGGGAAAGCAAAGACTCTCTTTAACAGCAACTAAAACAAAAAAGTGCCCCTCCTTTCTTGTGCGTGCAAACTACCCAGAGGCTAATCCCATTTATGACTTTGCAGCTTTTATTCGGAGCAGCAGTGAAGATTACTCCCGGGGGCTGCCTTGTTGACAAGAGTAATGTGAAAACAATGCGGAGATCAGCTGCAAAGTTCATAGAGGGGGTCGGACGATAACTGCGTGGCGCTTTGCCCTTCCTTTTTGCCAGGCTGGAAGCCGAGAGAGTGTCAAATTTAAGACAGCTTTGGATTCTCTTATGTGCGGCTTATGCTCCGTTTGTGTTCTAATCCCTCTGCTGGCTTTGTGCGTGTGCGTGTTTAAGTGGAGCTGAGCTACTCAAGACGGCAAGTTGGGATCATTTCTGTTTTCAGAACCCAGTCACTATTTTTAACTCAGAAAATTTGGACTCCTCTCCATCACCTGCAGAGGTATTTAGGTATGGGGGGGCAAACATTGGTTCCTCACCACCATCGTTTTTCTTAGCTCCCTTACCACCCAGCCCAGGTTTTAATTTTTTTTAAAAAAAAATCCAAGTTTTGTTTTGTTTTTTCAGCTGAAAAAGTAGAATTTCCCAGGAGGTGAAATTCTGAACTGAACCAAAATTCATGTCTTGCTTTGTGTTTTGTTTTCTTTAGAGGGGCAGGGAGGAGAGACTCGAAAAACTGAAAGAAAATCCGTGTCGCTTCCATTTCTATTTTTTAATAAAACACATGAAATATTCTACATTTCAGAAGGGGAGCCCGTGGTTCATCTCAAGGAAGTATCATTAAGTCCTGGAGCCCCCCCAGAACATGACCTTTCCTGTTTTGGAAGGTTTGCTTTCAGCGAGCACCATGAAAAGCTAATTTTTCCAAAGCAAGCCACAGCCTTTGCCAGCCGTGGGATGGAGCATTTTGAGTTTAAGCTTCCTCACCCACCAGCCCCACTTGTTGCCCTGCTAGGCAACGAAAAGAGGTAAAACCATTGGAAATCGTTCTTCGTGGCCTGTTTTGTTTTACCTCGTTTTCCCCATTTCCAAATTTCGGTTCGAAACTGGCAGGAAGGAGGCCAAGCCCAACGCTTTGTATGGTCCGATCCCCAAACATGTTACATTTAAAGGGAGGGGAAAAATCCCACCATTAATAAGATCCCATATCGATTGCGACTGTTTGAACAAAATGGACAAACTTTTCTTATATTTATTATTATTTCATGTTTGATTCCCCCCCCCCAAAATCGCTGGTTGACTTTTACATTTTTATTTATTTTTTGCATTTGTGGGACAGGGGGTTTGAAAAGAAACCCAAAATAAATTCTGGGCATCTTATTAACATCCCCCCCCACCACCATCATACTGGCAGCTGTTCCATGTAACTTGTGTGTGACAGAAACCACTTGGTCAAACTATGTCTGTCTCTTTTTTTGTTTGTTTGTTTTGTTTCTGTTTTTCTTTATATTCCCGCCTTCCCAGTAGACAGTGTCCCGATGAAAGACCCCCAGGATTTGCTCAACCGGCAGAAATGCCTCGAAGCTTTGGCGTCTCTGCGGCACGCCAAATGGTTCCAGGTTGGGCTATTCTTTCTTACCTTCTCGTATCTTTTACAAAGTGCTTTTCATTTAAAACCCAAAAGTTCAGATCAGTCTGAAATATTTTCTCGTTCAGTTTTTTTAAAGTATTTTTCCCCTTCAGTACTTAAGTACTTTCCCCTTCTTTACTTAAGTTACTACAGGTTTATGAACACCGGTTTTCCACCTTGATGGTAAACCATAAGCCCACTTGTAGAGTTTGGTTGTAAAGCTACACCACTGTGTTTTCTTTCTTCCTTTCTTTCCTGGCTTGTAAAAATGAACAATTCCACCTGTATTTGCTTTTTTCCTCCACCAGGGTGGCAGGCCACACTACAGTGGGGTCTTGACTTAAGAACGGCTCGAGTTAAGAACATTTTGACTTAAGAACCCCTCTCATAGGAAAATATTGACTTGACTTAAGTAGATTTGAGTTAAGAACTAAAAAAAAACCACGTGGGAGGCAGGGAAAGTGCAAAATTTGAACTTTCAGTTAACTGTTGGCCAGTGAAAAGGGTGCCCGTCTGCTTCCTCACTCCTCCCAGCGTTTAGAGAGTGGATTGGGAGACAGTCTTCAGACTGCCTGGTACTGCCTGGACTGTATTTTCTCTGCCTTCCCTGAACCTTTCTTGACCTAAGAAAAAAAGAAACAAAATATCCCCCTCTAGTGGTCGAAGGCAGAATAGCAGCTTCCCATTAGTTTCTATGGACGGAAAAGAGCAGATACGGATCAAATGGTTTTCACTGCATTCCTATGGGAAATGCAGATTTGACTTGAGAACATTTTGACTTGAGAACCGCCTTCCAATACGGATTAAGTTCTCAAGTCAAGACCCCACTGTACTTCTTAGTGCTTGCTTGTTCTTTTTGCATGTCTTTTTAAAATAAGCACAAGGATGATTTGAAAATCTTTGAAATAAATTTAGAGGGTTTTTTTGGGGGTGACGGGGAAAGATCCACAAAATAACTTGTCGAGGCTTAGAGGCATTCTGCAGTTGGATGGAATGGATCTGTTTGTTTTAGGCCAGGGCGAACGGACTCAAGTCCTGCGTTATAGTGCTGCGTGTCCTCCGGGATTTGTGCAACAGAGTTCCCACTTGGGCACCTCTGAAAGGCTGGGTAAGTACTTTGAGGGAACATGAAACCCACTCATTGCTAAATGCTAGTGAAATCTCCCGACTAGGGCCCAGAGTTTATAAGAGACTAGACTCATCTGCTATAAGAGACTAGACTCATCAATTTAGAATTGATGATCCGCCTTTGAAATTGACTAACACCATTGGACTTGAGTCTTCACCTTTGAAATTGACCAATATCATTGGACTTGAGTCTTCACCTTTGAAATTGACCAATATCATTGCAATTGAGTCTTCACCTTTGAAATTGCCCAATATCATTGGCCTTGAGTCTTCACCTTTGAAATTGACCAATATCATTGCAATTGAGTCTTCACCTTTGAAATTGCCCAATATCATTGGCCTTGAGTCTTCACCTTTGAAATTGACCAATATCATTGCAATTGAGTCTTCACCTGTGAAATTGACCAATATCATTGGAATTGGGTCTGCACCTTTGAAATTGACCAATACCATTGGACTTAAGTCTTCTCCTTTGAAATTGACTAACACCATTGGACTTGAGTCTTCACCTTTGAAATTGACCAATACCATTGCAGTTGAGTCTTCACCTTTGAAATTGTCTTACCCTATTTCCATAGACGTTTGTCTCTTTAGGAAATGACTTCTGTTTGGGCAGCCTTGTTTTTGTTGTTGTTGTTGTTGTTGTATTCCAGAGAAAAGTGTCCTGCAGTTTAGCCACTTTCCTTTAGAAACAGACCCTTGGCTGAACACTAAGATCTGTACCTTTAGCACCTTTCGGAAAAGTGGATTGTATTTACCTCCACTAGTCACTGTCCATGTAGGGCTTCCCACCCCCCCATGCACTGGTGTGAAACCTATGGCCTTCCTCATGTTGCCCCTCCCTGGCCATAACAGCAACACCCTCAGACCCTCGAGGCAGATGGAAAACAAGAAACCCAGCCCAGAAATGTGTGACAAATGCTGCCATGGTGTATTCCTGACTCCGGTTCCCGTGTTCTCCTAGCCCCTGGAACTTATCTGTGAGAAAGCCATCGGTACATGCAATAGACCTTTGGGTGCCGGCGAGGCTCTGCGGCGAGTGTTGGAGTGCTTAGCATCAGGAATCCTGCTACCCGGTAAGTCTTGCTGGACCCAACCCTGCATGCAGCGCTGGCTTCCGGACAGGGCCACTCAGTTCTGGTGCAGCCTCCCAAACACCCCAAAGTCTCACTGTCCAAAGCCCGGGGTGGTGTAATGTTTGATTTAAACACAGTCTGGCCCACCCTGCATCCTTTAAAAAAAAAGTGACTAATTTTTTTTGGTTGTTGGGAAATGCTTGAGATTTGCCCACAACCCTATAAGGGGTGGATGAAAAGCTGGGGATTTTTTTAAAAAAAGCTAAAGTGTACAAACCTGGCTGCATGACTCGCTTCTCCTCCTTCCTCCCTGCTGATCTGGGTTTCCCAACTTCCATGCCCTCGACAGGTGGGCCCGGCGTGCATGACCCCTGCGAGCGGGAGCCAACGGATGCCTTGTCTAACTTGACTGTTCAACAAAGAGAAGCCATTACACACAGTGCCCAGGTAAAAAAATGTGCCAGGCTTTCGAGCCACCTCTTCTTCCCCCATCTCTGGCACAACAGGGCGTTGCGTTGTGGTGTGTTGTGTTCAGAGACCGAGCCCCGGTGTTGCACAAATGGTGAGGAAGAGCAGGTTGGCATCCTCTTCCCCGTGGCTCACATGTGCTCATGTGGCTTCATGGTGGCAGATGTGAGCAACCTGTGGCCCTCCAGCTTTTGGTGGTCTCTCTCTCTCTCTTTCTCTCTCTCTCTCTCTCACACACACACACAAATTCTTCTCTAGCCAGTAATTACAGATGGAGGGTGCTTTTTTTTTCTTAGCACATCGGCATCTTTTGGGGCTTCAGGTCCTTCTCTTTGATCTTTGTGTGGCAACGATGAAGTCAGATCCGTTCTGAGTATTAAAAGTAACTTTTCTTTCCCTTCTCGGTCAGCACGCGTTGAGACTGTCAGCTTTTGGGCAGATCTACAAGGTCCTGGAAATGGATCCTCTCCCTTCTAATAAGTCGTTCCAAAAGTATTCCTGGTCGGGGACCGACAAAGAAGGTGAGAAACACAGGACGCACTAACTGGAGCAAGACACTCATGACAGTAAAATACACCGTTTTCCACAACGAAGTCCAGTGCCTGGTTTTTACTGTCTTGGCATAGGAGCAATTACCCAAAAACAAGTGAAATATGATGTACGGAAAGCCTAACAATATAAATAAAACCTGTGTTAACTTATTAAACGCAATATCCAACAAGAACTTACATATATACCTTTATAATCTACTTATATTTATACAGTATGAAAGCTTATAATATCCAAACCACATAAATTGAGATATGTACAGCCACAGTGAAGGTGATTTTTCCCCCCCAAGGCTAACTGCATATATATTTATACTATATACAACTCCTATATTGATGAATGCATATCCACTGGGAAGCCTAGAAAACAGAAATGCTCAATTCATTCATAGAGAGAGAGAAATCCAAGCGCTTGAGCTTGGTCTGGGCTCAGATCCTTCTTCAGATGCTCATTAAGCTCACTAAGGATGTTTTATGATTTCTTTATCTTTAAATGGCGATGTTTGAGACAAGAAGGAAGAGCAGGTCTGGCCTAGCAGTTAGAGTAGGACTAAGAATCACCAAGCCTTTTCCCAAAGCCTTCTGGGCCTTCACGGTGGTGGCCCCTATTTTATGGGAAAAAAGCTTCTCATCGAAACTTGTTCCATAGGACAGGAGTCAGAAGGACTCCTGTCCTATGAAGAGGACAGAGAGACTGGCGAAACATGAGAAAGAACAACCTTCAGAACACGGCCAAAGAGCCCGAAAAACCCACAACAACCATCAGATCCTGGCCGTGAAAGCCTTTGAGAATACATTAATTGTTAAATTTAGGTTTTCTTTTTATTATTATATTCGAATTGATTTATCTCCATGTTGATTGTGTTGTTATATGAGAACGGTGCTGGGGGGTGATGGAAGTGCCCTGTTCTGTAAACTGGCCACAATAGCGCATGTTCACTAATGGGGCAGTATAAAAGCCTGATTTATTGATTAATCGTGCTCACTTAATTAATTAATGCTTAATTAATTAATTCTGAGTGAGCATGTTGGACAAGGCCTTAAAGAGGTCTATCGTAGAGTGTTCGTCAAGCCACAAAAACATCAGGGTGGCCTTCAGTGGGCCAGTATCTTCATAGTCATCTACTTCCTAGATCTTCTTGTGGAAGTAAAGAGACAAGTTCCCTGGAGGAAAAGATTTGTGTGTGTGTGTGTGGAATATATACACGCTGCAAACAATAAGCGTATTTATCTGGGATCATGCGGTTCTCATTCTAGGAGAGCTTGATTCTCTCCCCCTGTTGAGATGGAGGCCTCTCTGACAATTAAGATGTCACCTTTATCCGTAGCCCCACGGCTGTCGAAAATATAATGGCTCCTTGACATTTTAGTAATAGAGGAGATAGCCGTGGTCATTTATTTTTAAAGTGAGAACATCGATCGTGTGACACTCCTGATTACAGGGGAGTTTATTGCTCTTAAAGCAAATGATGGATGCCGATAGGCCTTCTCCTCCTCCTCCTCCTCCTCCTCCTCCTCTCTCCCTCTCCCTCTCTCTCTCCAGCACCTGATGCTTGCTGAATTTGGGATGATTAGGAAAGAGTAATGACCCCCTACTGCATTCTGATAAATTTACAAGGAGGAATCGTCAGTAGCTGCTGCCCCCCTTGTAGTAAGGGAGGGTGGGTGAGAGGGAAGATTCTTTGCCTCCATCTTACTCTTAGCTGGCGAAATCCAGAAGTTAAATCCCCAGAGGGCGTAGAGAAAACGTAGAGAAAAATGGCTTTGTCTTTCAATTCCCCATCTCTGTGTGCCTGATCTGCACCGTTGCGGTTTCATGGCGTTTGTGTCTTGTTGCCTCCTCCCCTAATTACTTGGGATGATTAGGAAAGAGTAATGACCCCTTACTGCATTCTGATAGACTTACAAGGAGGAATCGTCAGTAGCTGCTGCCCCCCTTGTAGTAAGGGAGGGTGGGTGAGAGGGAAGATTCTTCGCCTCCATCTTACCCTTAGCTGGCGAAATCCAGAAGTTAAATCCCCAGAGGTCGTAGAGAAAACGTAGAGAAAAATGGCTTTGTATTTCAATTCCCCATCTCTGTGTGCCTGATCTGCACCGTTGCGGTTTCATGGCGTTTGTGTCTTGTTGCCTCCTCCCCTAATTACTGTTGAACTTTAATCGGGCTTGGGCAGGCATACAACAATAAGGCAGGCGCTTGGTTTAGCGCCTCTCTCGCCGTTCTTTGCTTATTGCTTAACACCTCCTCTCCCTTCTGGAGGGAAGCGCAAGGCGCCTGGCAGCTAAGGTCTTTGTTGGCGGCAAAACAAGCCTTTTTGTTTCATTATATTTTAAGGTATCTCAGTGTTGTGTGCTCATTAGGGTGAGTGGCTGGATTTGGGAGATGCCGACGGAGGTCCCTCTGGAGCTGAAAACCCACCCGATGACCTTCAGCAAAATCTTTGCCTCCCTCACAAGGTTGTTGTGAGACTAAGAGTGGGAAGAGCAGCTCTGACACAGCTACAGGCCTCTCTGGGGCAAGCGTTTGCTTCCCTCTCTCTTGTTGGAGACAGTCAAAGCTTTTTCCACTTGGCCGTAAATCTGGGGCCGGAATGCCAACTCACTATTACCTCCTTGCTTTGTTTCCTCCCTCCTGCTTCTTGTTGTGTCTTTGCTTCCTGACTTCATCCCCCTCTTTTAGAGCATTAAGGGCTTTCTTAAAAATAGAAGCTGCTGAGTTCTGCGTAAAAACGTCTCCGCAGTGCCAAGAGCTTTGGCTCGATGCATGTGTTTGATCAGGATTGGGAAACGGGACCTGAGTTTACACCGGCAGACAAAATTCAGGCAGGCAAGAACTTAGCCCTTCCTTCTGCCCAGTGGTCTTCCCCATCCAGCCACCATCCCACCGCCAAGAGTGGCTTTAATCGATCACATTTCTACACTTGTTCTCACCATAATCTGTAAAATTGCTTTACTTGATACAGATTGGTGCTCCTTTGATAATTCTTGTATATTCGTTTTCTCCCATCCCCAAAGTCCGCATTGTAAAAACAATATCTTTTTCTCTGTTCCTTTTCTTTCTTTTTTTTTCTTTTAAGGTGCCGGCTCCTCAGCCTTGAAGAGGCCTTTCGAAGACGGGTTGGGGGACGAGAAAGATCCGAGTAAGAAGATGAAGCGGAACTTGAGGAAAAGTAAATATCTCTTTTCTTTAGTTTTTTTTTTTTTAGAAGCTGTTATAATTTTTCTTCTTCCGCTGCTTTGATTTCAAGGAGGAGCTGCTCTTGAAGAGCCATGAAGGGGATGGGTGAGGCTCAGGCTCAAAACACTGCAGGATGTGCCTTGCACATTCCAGCAGGCTATCCTTTGAGCTTCATCTGAGCTAGCTTAAAACCCGAGCATCTTATTTCCTGGGTCCACGTATCCTCCCATCCTTTGCGTCTGGAACGCAGCCGTCCTTTGACCAGCTGCAGCCTCTGAATCGTGAGAACTGCAACAGAATGTTCCTGCGTGGGAAGAGAAATGGAGGAATACCTCCCCCCCCAGGATGCTCATCTTCCCTTCTAGAGTTTCATTGGTGGTTGCCATCGTGACGACAGACGGGTGGCACTCTGTGGTCCCTGAGCATGCACATCTTCCTTGGCGTGTGTAGGCCCTCCTTTCAGGATTTTCTCTGTGAAGACTTCAGGGAGGTCGGCAAGCCTCCGAGTCCCAAGTCCAAGTCCCAGGGTCCAAGGGCCAAAATCCTGTGCCTGGAGTCCCAAGTCTCGAGGCAGGACACATGTACAGACAGCGGTCCCTGGAAGGGAGGCCAGCGCATGCGCAGAGAGAGTGGACCAGCTTCGCTTCCATGGAGTGTGGGGGTGCCATTCTCAAGGTTGCTAAACTGTTGGCTTAATCTACAGTAGAGGGCAAACCCTCCTGGATGACGTCGCGGCTGCTTCTGATTCTTCTTCTTTCTCATAGGTGCTAGAGAGCTTGCATAGAGCCTTTCCTTAGGCCAGTTATAATGGGATTATGTAACCACTGTCCTATCTGAACTCTGTCAACTATCTGTATACTGTCCACGATCTGTGAGCTTGTAAGGTTAATAAAAGCACAGTCCTCCTGGGGGGGCAAGGCAGAATGCATTGGGAACCCATTGGGTGTGATTCTGCCTCTTCTACTAGCCGCCCACCAGGAGACATCCCTGTGTGTTTGGCTTGCTTCTTTAACTTCTGTCTCTAAGAGATTATTTGCTATCCTAATTATCTGATGACCATTACAAAGCCCATCAGCCTTCTCATTTCGTGACTCCCAACACCGGAGCAAGCCCCTGTCTCTGGGCAGGCACTATCTTCTCAGCGGGGTGGCAGGTGTGTGGGTAGAGGCATCATCCACGGCTTCTGGAAGGCAAGCCAGAGCTGCTGCCTCTGAGGACGGCGGCCGGTAGGGAGGCCCCTCTCTAAGGGCGACGCGACTTGGAAAAAATGGTTCTCAGGAGTTTGAGTCAAGGCGCTGGAGCGGCTGAAGTCAGACTTGATGAGAAGTTGCAACTCACACAAGTCCCCGTCCCCTGGAAGGCTCTCTGCACAAGACCTGGCATCTGCCTTGCGATGTTTAGATAGGCTAAACATTGCATTGCGATGATCAGTAAGCGTTTTGCTTACCGATCTTTGCATTGCGATGTTTAGAAAACAGCTGATCGGCAGTTCCAAAATGGCCGCCGGATCAGCAAAATGGCCACCCGCAGCGTTTTCGCGCCCTGCCCTCGCTTACCGGGCAGCGAAAATGACGGCTGGATGGGGGAATCTTCGCTTACCGGTGAGTTTTTCCCCCATAGGAACGCGTTAAACGGAGTTTAATGCGTTCCTATGGGGTTTTTCCGCCTGCATAGCAATGAATCCGGATAGCGACGTTAATCCTGGAATGGATTAACGTCGCTATGCAGGGCACCACTGTAACTCCAAGAGTCCCACAGCCTCATGGCTACTAGCTGTGCTGGCTGGTAATAGTCTAGTAAAAAGAAAGTAACTTTTTCAAGCTCTGGGATTAAGGTCCCCTAAATGCTTCAGCAGATGACTGAGTTATTTGAAGAAGTCTGCCCCACTCTTAGTTTACTCTTTATGTTGCATGTTACTTCATAAATCTCATTTGGTTGTCACTTCTCCCACCATCCCCTCCTGAGGTACTTGGTTAGCAAGGTACGTTACTTTTGAGGGAGGAGTTGTGAATTGCCAATTCAACCCCTACCTGTTAAAAGCTAGAGCTAAAAAATGTTGTTTTTACATATACAGTGGAGCCTCACTTAATGACGATATCCGTTCCAGGAAAATCGCCGTTAAGCGAAAACATTGTAAAACGAAATTAAAAACCCCACTGAAATGCACTGAAACCCATTCAATGAGTTCCAATGGGGTAAAAACTCACTATCCAGTGTAGGTCCTCCATATAGCGGCCATTTTCGCTGCCTGTATAGCGAGGAATCCATCCCAAAACACAGCGGGGAGCCATTTTAAGCAGCTGGCGGCCATTTTGAAACCCGACGATCCGTCGTAAAGCGAAAATCGGTTCCCGAAGCAGGGAACCTATCATTGTTAAACGGACAAAAAAACTATTTAAAACAACATTTTGCGATCACAAAAGCGATTGCAAAAACCTAATCATCAAGCGATTTTGTCGTAGAGCGGAGCAATTGTTAAGCGAGGCACCACTGTACATTTCCTTGCCCTCTGACCTCTCTGTTTATATCTGTCTATCCATGTAATTTTTCCCCTCTTTCTCAACACAAGAAGCATGTGAGGAACCAGGAAGACGTTCCTGAGATTCCACAGCAGCACAGGCTCTTTGGAAAAAAGATAGGCTCTCCTTTCTCAGAGGTTTTTAAGAAAACCTCAGACTTCCACCATTCAGAGAGGTTTGGGGGGGTGAGCATAGGTGCTCTTCGGTGTCCCTTCCAGCTCTGCAATTCCATGCTGTAGGATTTGAGGAACCTGAAAGGTCATCTAGTCAACCCTTGACAACACCAAAAAGCTACTGCCTAAGACTCCCTAGCAAATGGACCCCCTAACTTCTGTTTTGAAACCTCCAGCAAAGGACAATCTGCACCGCCTTCTGAGATGGCCTGTGGACCCCATTTCTGAACAGCTTATACTGCTAGGAAGTTCTTCCCGAATTGCTTTCTTGCCCTTTCCTTCCATTGGTTGAGGATCGTAACTGCTGGAGCTGCAGAAAAACTCGCTTTTCTTCCCTGCGAGAGAGTCCTTCCCGTCTCTGGATAGGATGGCTCTCGTATCACCTCTCGGTTGTTGTTTTCTCCTCCACACTAATCACACCCAGCTTGCTTTCTGGACCCTTTGCTATCTTGGCAGCATTCCCCTGGACGCATTTATTCCTAATTATTGATGTATTTCCAAAATTAGAAATATTTAGTTAGAAATAGGTAGCCTTGGAAATGGAACCTCGTGGTGCGGTGGTTAAACCGCAGTACTGCAGCTACAACTCTTCTCACAACCTGGGTTCAATCCTAGATAGCTGACTTGAGGTTCACTCAGCCTTCTATCTTTCTGAGGTCAGTAAATCTGAGTACCTATCTTGCTCGGGGTGGGGTACAGTTAATGCGTAGCCAGCATAATTACATTGCAACCCTCCCAGAAAGTGCTTTAAGCCCTGCGGGGTGGTATATAAGCAGCATGCTTTGCATTTTTGCTTTTTTCTCTCTCTCTCTCTTGGAAAAGTTTTCTTTCGTGCCCTGTCTCCCTTTCTTAACCTTTCTCTCTCTCTCTTTGCTCCTCTTTTTCAGTCCTGGACAGCAAAGCAATAGACCTAATGAATGCCTTGATGCGCCTGAATCAGATACGACCCGGCTTGCAGTACAAACTCCTTTCTCAGTCCGGTCCGGTCCACGCGCCTGTCTTCACCATGTCTGTTGACGTGGACGGCACGACGTACGAAGCTTCGGGGCCTTCCAAGAAAACTGCCAAGCTTCATGTTGCAGTGAAGGTAAGGATGACATTCAGGCAGGGAGAGCCATTTATCAGGAAGAATGGAAATGCCAGAAAAGTGGGCAGGCTTTTAAGTCTCTCGAACACTTCCTTAGCCTGGTTGGTACAAAACATCTCCAGAAAAATTGGCTGTTAAGATCATCTTTGTTTTACCCTTTGCAAAAAGGAAGGACTTCTTCACAGTAAACTGCGGAACTCACCGCCACAAGGGGTAATCATCGCTACTAACACAGGATCTAGTTTCAGCTTGGCCGATGTCCATGTTCAAATGCTCTTACATTCTTTAGAACACAAGTCCCTGCGGAAGGCAGTGATAGCGGAAACGGTGTGGGTCTTGTGTAACTTTGTCGTGCCCGCCTTTTCTCTTCCTCACTTAGAGTAATATTCTCAGGATGACTTCATTCACCCGCCTGTCCCGGATCTGGGAAAATGGGACTCATGTCAACTTGCTTTTTGGAAAGGTTCCGAACAATAAAACAGGGATTAGAAATAGCTTTAGTAGGACTGTCTGTGTGGCAGGTGAATTGACAGACCTGTTCCGTGGAAGCATTCATTGATCTCCGTTACAAATAGATGCTTTCTTTCCTTCTTTTCTTGAGAAATGAGGAACTATATTTGGTCTAAATTTCCATTCTCGGACTCCCACTGCCCCTGCCCTAGGGGATATCCATCTCTAAATCTAGGAGGGGCTCAGCTTTTGTCTCACCAGCCTTGCAGTCAGTGACGGAGAGACATTTGCCTACAGGCAGCTTTCAAAGAAGGAGAGAGATCGAGGTTTTGCTCTCACCTGGCAGATTCTCACTGAAACGAGAACCTGCCCAGCTCCATCTGTCTCCCTTTGTTTGATTTTATATGTTTGTGTGTATACTGTACACACAGAGAGAGACGATAGATAGATAGATGGATAGATGGATGGATGGATGGATGGATGGATGGATGGATGGATGGATGGATGGATGG